CTATAAATAGAAAATAGCCTTTATTACCTAATTTAGACTCTTTAAATTACTAGTTATGCTATTTAGCCTCTATAATACGCTAGCCTTATTCTAGAACTATATTAACTATACGCTTTATAATCTTCTAAACCGTACGTATACTACGTACCTTAACAATATTCTTATCTACTCTACGAATAAAAAGAAATACTAATAATACGTCTAAGACGTAGTCTAATAGCTTATTAACGCAGACCTCTAAATTAATATTAAGAAGTGTAAATTTAAGGTTACTAAAACAAAATACCTTAGTCTTATTATCTCTCTAGAGAGAATCTATATAGATCTAGAGAAGGTCTAGACTATTTATATATAGATAACGCCTCTATACCTAAAAGACTTATAGAAGTTTCTTAGCTTCTCTAACTTTTATTAATATTTTATTTAAGACTTTTCTAAGATATATTAACTACTAAATAAGCTGCTACGTAAAGATACGCTATAAATCTAGATAGACAAGCATACGTAAGCCTTTAAGACTCTAAAGATATTATTTATAACAGCTTTAGTACTAGTAATATACAACTATACAAAGAAGACAATTCTTAAAATAGACGCCTCTAACTAGGCGTTAGAGAGCGTACTCTTATAGTATAATAATACTAGCGTACTCTGCTCTATTACGTACTTTTTAAGTAAGTATAGCGCTACTAAGTGTAACTATAAGATCTATAATAAAGAACTTCTTACTATTATAAAGTTCTTAGAGAAGTAGCGCTCTAAGTTATAAGAGACTACTAAACTATTTAAGATTATTATAGATTATAAGAATCTTAAATACTTTACTATAATAAAGGTACTCTTCTAGAGATAGGTCTACTAGTCTAAATTTCTCTTATAATTTAACTTCTGTATTATATATTACCTAGAGAGCAAAGTAGTTAGACTAGACGCGTTAAGCTATATACTAGGCAACTAACCTATAAAGAATAACCTTACTAATAACTACGTTAAAAACTAGATACAGATAATACTACTACTAGAAAGATTTAATAAGAAGGTTCTTGTAAAGCTTCTTTAAGATACTCTACTAGACGTAGCAGTACTTATTCTACTAGCTATAGATAAACTAATTAATAACCTATTATAGACTACATATAAGATATTAGACCTAGTATAGAAAATAATTACTACGCTAGAGAACCTATTAGTAAAGCGCTAGCTAAAATACCTTCGAAGACTTCTCTAGGTCTCTATACTTAATTATAGAGTCTAATAAAACTATATTTAGTATAGAGATTATATGTTTATACTACTAAATAATAAACTATATATATAGATCTTATACTATATCTATAATACTAGCTCTGCTAGCTACTCTAGATAGGTTAAAACTATAGACCTTATCTACTATAACTACTAGTAGCTATAAATCTCTTATAATATTAAGACTTATATATAAGTCTACGCTATATACGTAAGAATAAAAGTATCTAGACTCTTACTCTAGAGCTTCTTAAAACTACTACTAGTTCTATTCTAGGTATAGTCTAATATATTAGTTAACTATATTACTCTACTATCTAAGTATAAGTTATATAGTCGAAAATACAAATATATTCTTATAGTAGTCTACTAACTTATAAAAATACGCTATCTTATTTCTATAATAAGAATTAATATAGAAGAGCTAACTAATATATTTATTTTACAAATCTATTTTGTCTATAGCTACTCTAATAACGTTATTTCTAATTATAGTATATAGTTTATCTTCTAGTTCTAAATATAGCTTTCTACTTACTTAGAAGTTACACTTAAGCGCTTATTCTTATTCTACCTAGAGATAGATAGATAAATAGAGCAAGTTAATAACTCTATTAAGGTATATCTCTAGGCGTTTATAAACTTCTACTAAGATAATTAGGTCTAATAGCTACTACTTACAGAGTTTATAATAAATAATATTATGTCTAAAACTATAGAAGTATCTCTATTTTTTGCAAACTATAGCTTCTATTTAAGATTAGAAGTTAAGCTAGCGTAACTAGTACTACTAAACCTATTAGCCGTATAAAAACGTAAGTTTTTTAGAGCTAATAATATAGCTAATTATTTTAGCCGCATTCTATTCTAGCTAAAAGTACTAGCTATCTAGTCTATTACTTAGTATAAACGCTATATAAATAAGAGACGTAAGAACGTACTATAATTTATAATAGAAGACCTCGTCTATATTAATACGCGTAATATAAAGACGAATAGACCTATAAAAAAGAGAGATAATAAGCTTATAGAACTATATAAGGTACTAAAGGTTTATAACTAATTATGTATACTAGAACTCCTACTACGTATATAAATTTTTCTAGTATTCTATAACTTACTACTCTGTCTCTAGCACGCTTCCGTAAGCCTTCTAGGTTAATAGGTAATTAATAAAGCAGAGTTACGCTATCTCTATAAAAGAGTTCTTAAAAGAGAGAATAGAATAGAAGAACTTACTAAAAAGTAGAAGTTTAATATAATATTAGACTACTATAATAAGTAACTAGAACTATAGTACCTTATTAAGTAGAAGAACTATACTATAATATAGTAACTAGCGTTAGATCTAAAGAGTTAGAATAATACGTTACTAAGGTTCTATACCTAGCACCTAGGTAAGCTAGGTCTACCGCGATAAGTAAAAAGGCTATAGACGCTAGTTAGTCTAAATTTTTTATTATTTTATAAGCTATCTAAGACGTATAGCTATTTAGAAGGGGGGTACTATTATAGTACTAACCTGTCTACGTAGCTACGTAACCTTAGCTATCTTAGCGCCTTAGCGTAGTAGATATCTTCTCTACGCCTTCGTGCCTTTATAGCTTAATATTATACAACTTATTATATACTTTAAATTCTTATTTCTTATCTACGCTATAATATATATTAACTATAAACTTTCTTCTATAGTATATTATAGAGAGCTATAGCGCGCTATAAGCTTAGCTCTAGATTCTATTAAATAGTCTAGAGCGTAAGCTATATCTAGAATTTGTCTAAAGTTAATTAGGCGTTTATAGAGAGCGTTATAATAGAGATAGTAGTATTTAGTAGAGGCTTAGTATTTTTAGGTTGTTTAATAGAGTAACTAGTTTAATAGTAAAGTATATTATTCTTTATAGTATATTATATCTTATAGAAAAGTTATACTAAGATATATTACGTAATTAAAAAGCTATACGTATTTAACTAACTTTTAAGAAAAAAATCTAGTTTACTTCTAGTAAGTACTATTATATCTCTATAATAATATATAAAACTTATAGTATATAGTATTTATAACATAATAAAGGTTTCTAGAAAACTTTTATAGAGCTAGCTCTTCTAGGTATAGCGTAATAAGAGATAGAAGTTTAAAAAATTCTTTTTAGAGCTTTCTTCTCTAACTATATATAGATATTAATAATCTAGCTATATAAAGCTATATATTATAAGCTTATATATATTATAAGGTTTCTAGATATTTAGAAGTAATAATTTTAAGATAGTTTTAGTATAGTTCTATCTTTTTCTACTATACTATAAAAAGATTTTACTTTTAAATAACTACTTAAAGCTACTATATTATTAGTTAATAAGCTCTATATAGTTTAGGTATACTATAATTTATAAAATTATAAGTTTATATAGCTAGATTAACTAATATATATATAGTTAGAAGAGAAAACTCTAAAGAAGATATTTTTCTAACTTCTATCTCTTATTATACTATACCTAGAAGAGCTAGCTCTATAAAAGTTTTCTAGAAACCTTTATTACGTTATAGATACTATATACTACAAGTTTTATATATTATTATAGAGATATAATAGTACTTACTAGAAGTAAACTAGATTTTTTTCTTAAAAGTTAGTTAAATACGTATAGCTTTTTAATTACGAAATATATCTTAGTGTAACTTTACTATAAGGTGTAATATACTATAGAGAATATATATATAAATTTTTATAGAAAAATATTAAGGTTTCGCTTAGTTATTTAAGAAAAACGGGTTAATTTTCGTTAATTTTCGTTGCTAAGAGAAGGTAACTAGCTCGCTTGTGTAACTAGCTTGCTTATAAAGTACGTTAAGTAGAAAGCTTCTATATTAGTTAACTAAGGTTTAGCATAAAGCTAGTATAAGCTTCTTCTTATTATAACAAGAAACTATAGTTAATTTAGAAACAGTACGTAATATAAGTAGGTTTACGATACAGAGCGGCCAGGGTTTAAGGGGACGGGCACGGAAGAGGCGCGAACGCCGACGTTGGCTTGGCGGGCAGCGCAAACGCCCGCCGTGGAGACTTTCCTCCAATTCTACGTTCCCACTTCTCCAGATTCCGTCACGTCCAATTGTGGTCCCCCGTGAACTACAAGACTGTCGGTGGGCATGTCTGCGGCTGGCTGCTAGCTCATTTAGAAACCTGCACAACAACGTTAGTTCTTTGTCCATTCTTGCACCAATAGCGCCGGAGAGACACTTACAGTCTGCTTGGACTCGTCCTCAGGAACATGGCCATCGTTGAGCTTGAAGTTGCCCTCCCAAGCTTCGACGGAGTAGTGCATGCTGCGGTCGCCGGCGCTCGGATGGGTCATGTTGCTACATTCGGTCAGTAGTTGCACACATCGTTTGGCTCGACGGCGACGTACCAGATGCGAATCTCAGTGACCTTATTCAGGACGTCGTCCCCAAAGACCTTGCCGGCAGCGACGCGCTTGCCGACCATATCAGCAGCTGCGTTCTTCAGCTTCAGCTGGATCGCGCCACCAAGGCGGGTGTAGCCGGGGCCACTCTCAGAAAGGGTGATGTTGACCATGCGCCCCTTGACGAGCGTGGTTCCAAGACGAGTGGCGCCAGACATTTTCGTGGATATCAAGGGAGATCGGTGGTAAATTCTGAACAATGAACAAGAGCTTGGATAGCAGTATAAGTGAGTAGAAGGCTTGATTGTTTGCTGTTCGATCGGATGCTGACTTGGAGGACAAAAACGACGACTTGGATTCCGAATTTATACGGCATTGCAGCGCCAGCAGAAACGTCAAGTGTTTCGCATTTCAAATGCACCCGCCGGTGGTCGGACTGGCAGGAAGACAGCAGGGATGGAAGTGGGCAAATATCGACCAACCATTCAACTTTTCATGCATGTTTATACTCTTTCGCGCCTCGCGTCAGGCTTCGGTGAGGCACAGCAAAGTGAGGCACAGCAAATGTTGGGGGCTGTTGGAGAAATATGCTGCTGCCTAGACCGCGGTCGCAAGAAGCGCCAGCCTCAACGTCACAAAAATACCTCACTCAAAGTGCGGTTTACTCCCATGTTCTACCCAACCATCGGCCGTTTCCTAAAAGAAAGCCTCATCCAATTGTAGCAACGTGACTACCAAAGATTGCGATATTGTCTACCTATGATCAGGACGAAGAGGAGAGCTGCCCCTGCTAGCATGTGTGGGGATTTCCTTAAGCAATCTGCATCTCGCCGGACGTTTATTTGCTCAGTGCAACGTGCTGAAGTGCCTTGAACTCCTTCGACGTGAGCACCTGCTCCGCTGACAAGCGGGTCTGGAAGTTTGGTGCAAGTAAAATCTGGAGGAGAGCATTGACCTCAGGCATGGTGCCCAGTCTCCACAAGACCTCCCTAAGAGGCCGTGCTGGGACATGCATGCTCCCGTCATCGTCATCTTCAGGCTGCGTGAGAAGTGCTCGACCCAGCTCGTACATCGACTTTATATCACTACCAGCCGGCGGATCGACCGTCTGTTCATTCTCCGTCTCCACCAGCTTGATCATCTTGGCAATGCACCATGCGTCCGCAAAGATGGGCGGTTTGACGTCATGTGGGCCAAGGACTCCTGGTTGAAGCCACGAGATGATTGTGGATCCCACAGAATACACGTCCGACACGTGGCGACAGCCATATCCAGCCCAGACCTCGGGAGCGCGCATGGCCAGCGGCTGCATTTGCACCTGATTAAAGCCATCTGGTTGACCTGGAGAATTGTAGGTTCAGTATGTATATCCCATAGGGTTTGGAACGTTGGATACTTACAGAGGCCCATGTCTGAGATCTTAACTATTGGCTTTTGTCCGTCGACGTTAGAGCAGAGTACATTATCGGGCTTACAATCTGCGGTAGGAGTCAGTTTCTCGGGTTGAGACAGGGGAATTTCCAGCCGCTTAGGCTTGATTGGTCTTCCAGACTTACCCGTCCAGACATTTTTTGTGAGACCAATGTCTTTTACGCCTCCTAACATGCCTTCGAAGAGCGCGGCCATGAAGACAGGATTATTCTTGTACTTAGCCGGATTAAGTGCGCTTAGCGGCACGTCGAGATATTCCAGTACGAGACAGTAGGGATTGGACTGCACTGCTTCTTCAAAGGCAGCGGTGTCGTCAGGGAAGCCATTTTCGCTTATGTCCCGATTGATCTCGTCCCGATTGATCTCGTCGTACAGAGACCGGATGTGGCGGCTCTGATAGATTGGTCGCTTATCGAATGCCTCGCGCTCTCTTCTAAGCCATCTTTGCCTTTTGGCCGTGGCGGTTTTAATAATGGCCCTAAAAGACCACGCATTAGACACTGGCATTCTCTGATAGTACGCAGCATACTTACCACTTCGCCGGCCTTTGGTATCTGGAGTTGTTAAGGATTTCGGCTTTCCAGACTGTAGAGAGAACAGTCTGGTTTAGCTGAAGCCGTTCCACGAGTTTGTAGGTATATTTGCCGCCGGTAAGGAATTTGCCGACGCTGAACGACATTAGTGTCCAACGGATCTGCTATCACTAGTACGTTGTCAAGTGTGACAGTGATTATTGGAAAGAGGGTGCTTCGTCGGCGAAACAATAAAATGTTGACAACAGTAAGGGTGTTAAGAGCCCACAAGGCCTCAAGAGCCAGGTAGGTATCCGGATAAATGTTCTTCCGGCTGCTTAGTCGTTCCACTTCAGAAACACCACCACACACACCATCCTCCCCCACCATAACACCCATACCCACCTACCCATTACCCCGTAGAACCTCCCCCACCCCCCACAATGACCTAGGGCGCCATCAAAAAGTCCAAACCCACTTCCAAAAAGTACTTCCCACCCTTCCCTCCCCTTCCCCCTCCCACATATTCCCCCAACTAACACCCTCCCCAGACCCTCCTAAAAAGTGCAGCGTGGCTCCCGCATCATCAAGCCGAAAAAGCATCCCTCATCTCGCAAAACAAAATCAAGCATAAGCGCACCAAGGGGCTGACGGGCAAGACGGAGAAAATGCTCGCGGCGAAGGCGGGGCATTTGGAGATGTTGAAGGGCGGGAAGAGGGAGAAGAGGATTGAGAAGGAGGGGGTGAAGAAGGCTTGATCTGAGGATTTTGACGTTATATGGGAGGTTGAGGAAAGGGTTGCTTGGAGAAAATACGGGTGGGTTGCACTCGTCGGTATGCGCGAGAGGGACGAGATATCACGATGGCAATTTTAGAGAGGGGATGAGGAGGGAGCGATTGCTACGCGCGAGATGGTTAGGAGGGCGAACGCGGGAGGTTCACTGAACAGGAAGGCTTGGAGCGAACAATCCATAAGAGAGGAACGGCATTCGAGCGGAATGTTCTCCAATGAGCTCTAAACGCCTACTAGAGGTACTAAGAATACAAAACAAACATGGCTCAAAGAACACCAGAACGAGCGACTTCCCCACCACCGGCTTCAACAACCGCCTCCCGAGCTTTACCCCGTCCGAGGCCACCCTCGCCAACACCCATTCGGCGCGCAACGTATCGCTGGGCCACAATACTAACACTAAGACTAATCATCTCCTCCATCCACTCAGCAACCCATTCGCGAGGGTCAACGCCGCCATCGTGTATAATTTGCTAGATCTCAGCAGGCACCTGCGCCTCCTCGCCCGCAGCCTCCGTCGCGGCCGGTGCATCTAGCCATTGCACCCACTTCGCCAGGAATGACTGGCTGAGCGCCTTGTAGCTGATGCCATAGATCGGGTCGTGTAGGTAGATGGCGAATACAACCAACTCATCTTCCTCTTTCTGGTCTTCCACTCCGCCTTCCTTCTCCTCTGATGACTGTGATGCAGCGAATAGATATTGCGGCGCGGTATAGCTAATTGCTTGGATAGCGAGGAAGATGTCGCTACTTCGGACGGGGTTCGACTCGCTCAGGACCTCGGTCGCGTGCTTGGCTGCTTCTTCAACGCCCCCTCTTGCTGAGAAGAACTCATTCGCGTATGCCTCTGCACTGACCCTTGCCAGCTTTGTGCCTTCGACTAGCCCTTTGACAACGCTTAGGTCGCGCTTGTCTGTATGACGCCACCACGGTCCGTCGTTCCACCCACTGCCACCCCCTCTGTAGCCGTCTACCGAAGTACGTTGTGTTGACTCTGAACCGCGCTGGATGACGAGCAGATCGCCTCCCTCTACCTGTGACATGACTTGCGAGAACGTCTGGTAGATGATTGGGTCGAGTGAGGGGTAGCCGATCAGGTCGTGTGTGATGTGGATCTGTAGACGCTCGTGCTGTGAGATGGGAGGGGCGAGGGTCTAGAGGATGTTGGAGAAGGTCGGCATGGCACGCTTCTGTAGCTCACCACCTATATCATATTAGTTCAGACCTGGCATCGTAGAGGTGGCAGGCGTACTAATGCCGCGTAGAGCTTCGACATCCAGGTTACCGCGCACCTGCTCCGCCCAGCGTTGTGCCTCCTTATTCTTTTGAATCTCTGCATACGCAGCTTCGGCGCGCTTTCGGGCGGCATCAGCAGTTGCAGTTGCTGTAGAGAGCAGCCCTCCCCACCAGGAGCCTCCGGCCTGCTTTGGCTCTGACGCTGGCTTGGCAGGCTCTTCTTGCGTGGGGGCAAAGCTCTGGTGGAACGACCGCGCGCTCTCTCCAGACTTCCTCGGTGCTTGAGCATTGTCTTCGCTGGTGCGCGCTGAGCCGCTGGAGGACGGGGTCACGACGCCCGCTCGGCGAGGGTTGCTCGAGGTGGTGGACGCTGAGGACAGCTTGGGTGTGTTTGGGCGGCTCGACGGTTTGGGGGCTTCGGGCCGCTGGAACTTCTCCAAAGCCTCCAGCTCCTCCAGCTGCTTAAGCGCATCAAGATCCTTCTTTGAACTCGGACGGGGAGCTTTGCTGGCTTTGGCGGTCTTGGGCGGGGGTGCCGCTGGCTCCTCCGCACCCATCATCTCGAGCTCGGCGAGCTGTTCCTCGACCGTCTTCTCAGCCATGGGGAGAGTAACAGCGACAGTGACAGTGACAGCGTGAAAAAGAAAGGCAGGATCGGCGGGGGACGTAATTGTATTGTGTCGATAGTAGAAGCTATTGTGGCGTGACGCGAACAGCTCGAGGCAACTGCTCATATGCTGCGGCTAAAGGTGCTGAACCACTTGCCATGTCGATTGGAATCGCAGGGTCGAAGCGCTTATATGTGTTGCCGCCGAATTTGAAGTGGAGGGTTGACTAGTGGAAGTCAGGATACGAGTCCGCGGGAAGCCAACAAAAACGCCAAGCCTACGCAACGCTGAGGCACCTACATGGCACTAGTCCAAATCCGTTCCGGCACTAACATGGCCACTCCCATCGTCCCTCCTGGCCTGCAACGACAGAAGAAGCGAAAAACAGTTATTCGAGTCTTAATTTAATTAAGAGAATATTATAATATACTTTATTACTAAAAGTCTTATATTACTAAAAGCCTTATATTACTAAAAGCTCTACAATTTCTTAGCAAGAAAAATTAACGAAAATTAACTTATTTTTCTTAAATAACTAAGTAAAACCTTAATATTTTTCTATAAAACTTTATATATATATTCTTTATAGAATATTATATCTTATACTAAAGTTATACTAAGATATATTACGTAATTAAAAAGCTATACGTATTTAACTATCTTTTAAAAAAAATCTAGTTTACTTCTAGTTAGTACTATTATATCTATATAATAATATATAAAACTTATAGTATATAGTATCTATAATATACTAAAGATTTCTAGAAAATTTCTATAGCGCTAGCTCTTCTAGATATAGCGTAATAAGAGATAGAAGTTTATAAAAAGTCTTTCTAGAGTTTTCTTCTCTAACTATAATATACTAAAGATTTCTAGAAAGTTTCTATAGTACTAGCTCTTCTAGATATAGTATAATAAGAGATAGAAGTTTATAAGAAGTCTTTCTAGAGTTTTTTTCTCTAACTATAATATACTTTATAAATAAACGTACTATATAAATAAATAACCTATAATTTCTTAGTAAGAAAAATTAACGAAAATTAATCTATTTTTCTTAAATAACTAAGTAAAACCTTAATAGTTTTCTATAAAAATTTATATATATATTCTCTATAGTATATTATATATTATATTAAAGTTATACTAAAATAGATTACGTAATTAAAAAGCTATACGTATTTAACTAACTTTAAAAAAAAATCTAGTTTAGTTCTAGTAAGTACTATTATATCTCTATAATAATCTATAAAACTTATAGTATATAGTAGCTATAACGTAGTAAAGATTTCTAGAAAACTTTAATAGAGCTAGCTCTTCTAGATATAGCGTAATAAAAGATAAAAGTTAGAAAAATATCTTCTTTAGAGTTTTCTTCTCTAACTATAGATATATATTAATAATCTAGCTATATAAAGTTATATATTATAAGATTATATATACTATAAGCCTGCTATATATTTAGAACTAATAATTTTAAAATAGTTTTAGTATCTTTCTCTTTTTCTATACTATACTACTAAAAAGATTTTACTTTTAAATAACTACTTAAAGCTAGTATAATATTAGGTAATAAGCTCTATATAGTAAAAGTCTACTATAATTTATATAATAATAAGTTTATATAGCTAGATTAACTATATATATATATAGTTAGAAGAGAAAACTCTAAAGAAGATATTTTTCTAACTTCTATCTCTTATTACGCTATACTTAGAAGAGCTAGCTCTATAGAAGTTTTCTAGAAACCTTTATTACGTTATAAATACTATATACTATAAGTTTTATAGATTATTATAGAGATATAATAGTACTTACTAGAAGTAAACTAGATTTTTTTTAAAAGTTACCTAAATACGTATAGCTTCTTAATTACGTAATATATTCTAGTATAACTTTAGTATAACGTATAATATACTATAGAGAATATAAATATAAATTTCTATAGAAAAGTATTAAGGTTTCGCTTAGTTATTTAAGAAAAACGAGTTAATTTTTATTAATTTTTATTACTAAGAGAAAGTAACTAGCTTACTTATATAACTAGCTTACTTATAAAGTATATTATAGAGTAATTTTATTATATTAACTATAAACTTTCTTCTACTCTATATTATAGAAAGCTATAGTATACTATAAGCTTAGCTTTAGATTCTATTAAATAATCTAGAGTATAAGCTATATTTAGAATTTATCTAAAGTTAATTAGATATTTATAGAAAGCTTTATAATAAAAATAGTAGTATTTAGTAAAAGCTTAGTAATTTTAGAGAGTTTAATAATATAAGAGGTTTAATAATAAAGTATATTAGTAATAAAAAAAAGTCTATTTTAGAGAAATATAAATAAAAAATATAAAAGCTAATTAAGAGTATTAGAGTTATTAGTAGATAATAGTATAAAGATAGTAGTATATTATATATAAATTTAAAAAATATATTCTATAGTAGATAAAGAAATATCTTAGTTTTAAATAAGTTAGCTTTTTTATCTTACTACTAGTACTATATATATAAACTAATAGTATCTAACTACTAAGTACTATTATATAAGCTATAAGTAGATAATAATAGTATTAAGCTACTTATATCTACTAAGATTATTTATCTTCTTTTACTATTTATAAAGTTAATTATATTCTAGCTAATTATTATAATAGTAAGAAAGTCTAAGTCTCTACCTTAATTAGTACTATTCTAACTATTACACTATAGTATTACGTACGATTTAATTATATAATAGAGTGTACTAATTTCTATTTAGCGTAGTATTAGTTTATATAAAATTCGTCTAGCTTTCTACCTTATCTTATATTTAACCTTTACTTACTCTTTTTATATATAAATAGTAGGCTATTTCTATTATAGTCTCTTAGAATAATACTATAGATATTAAACTATTAAATTAGAAGAATAATATTAACGCTAAGCGCTTACTATCTTCTATTAATTAGAAGACTCTTTAGAAATATACGATTAGCGTAAAATAGATATACTTAAAATATAATAGTAAAATTAGTTACTAGCTCTCTTCTAAGTATAATATAGGCGAACTATATATAGTTTAGTAGCTTAACTTTTATAATAGAACTAGTTAGGTAGCGCGACTATAACTACGTAAAGCTACTATAGAGTTACTTTAGTATTTAATATAAAAGGTCTATATAATCTAAGTTATTCGCGAATAATTAGTAATACTAGTTTTAGAGATATTTACGTATAAGCCTAGCTATAATAATATAGTTAGAGTTACTTTTATAATTATAGAGTTTATTCTAGTAGATATAGCTATAGATACTTTTAAAAAATAGCCTATTTATAAGAGTAAAATCTCTCTCTATTTTAAGAAGTAATTCTATACTATAATAGCTAGAATATAAGTATATAGTAGATAATAAATATAGTATTAAGCTAATAGAATAAGGTTAAAATAGTATTAGTACGTTTTCTAAAGATTAGTAGCGTTCTTTAACTCTTTAATAGAATCTACTCTATTAGCTCTATACCTAAAGTTAAAGGCCTATTCAACTTAGTAGTAGATTTTTTTAAGATATAGGCGAAAGAGGCGAAGTTTTCTTATAGCAAAGAGTTTATTTAAGAAAGAACACTCTATAAGCTTATTAGCAAGATTCTAAAATCTATTAAAGAGTTTCTATTAAAACTATTAAACTTCGCGTAATATTATTACTTCTAGAAAAGTCTCTTTCTAATTATTTATAGCAACCTATATATAAGTAATATTCTTATAGATTCTAATTACTATATTTAGAGTATAATTAACTAGAAGAATACAATTATTATACCTTAGAAAATAGTTAAGTTTATTAAAGATCTATCTATTATACTACCTATAATAGACAGTTTGCTTTACTATAAGAAGTTAAACTAAAAAAAGTTAGTTAAACGAACAAGATATATTAAAGTAGTTAAGAAAATAGAGAAGGTATAGTAACTTAATAGTAAACTCTCTATAGTTCTTAGTAATTAGAATACTTAGAATCTAGCTTTCGTAACCTAGTTATATCGCGATAGTAGAATTAGTTTCTACTTAAGTATATTTAAACTATTTAAGTAGAATTACTAATTTAAGATAGTAATATATTAATACTATAGTTCTCTTTATTTAGTTTCTTTAGAGAAATAATCTTTACGTTTCTCTATTATATTAGAAGTTAGCCTTAGTCTAGTAACACGCGAAATAGATATAGTACCTATTTCTTTACTACTAGCTATAGCTATCTCTATACTATTACTAGAAGCTTATTATTACCTAGTACTTTTTATAGCTTAGCTACTATTACGTACTACTCTACCTTCTCTATTATTAGCTCTAGCATGCTAACTAGCCTTCTCTAGTACTAATTTTCTTTCTCTTCGATTATTATTAGAAGCGGGGAAAAGAAGGTCTCTAGTAGCTCTATTGCCTACTTCTGCTTTTCTTCTATAGTCGTGCTATCGCGCTAACTAGCAGCGAAATTTTGTTAAAGGCCGTGTTATTTCTAGAGGTAAGATATCTTACTACCTTCTAGATATTAGCATTCTTAGCTAATAGCGTCGTGTTTATAGAGAGAGTTTATAGGTTACTTAGCTAGCTATTTAAGAGCGTAGATACTATATTAGCGTATAAAGGCGAGCCGCTAGAGACTATTTAGATCTTAAGTAGTTGTATCTTAGTACCTAAAAGATACTACTTATACTACTTGTCTCGTAGAAACCTAAGTAACTAACCTCTAGTTAAAGAATACGCACCGCGTTTCTATATTCTAACGTTATGCACGTATAGTAAGCGTAGCTAATAATAGTAAAGTAGAGTTCTATTAGTTCTACGCGCCGCGTAAGTTATATACGTAGGCTAGCTACTATCTATATACTAAGTTAGTATTTAGCTTCTATATAGTTATTACTAGTAAGCTTAACCTCTACGTAGAAGAAGATAGTAGTTGTCTTTATAAAGGTATTAGTCTTATAGCTTATTAGGTAGTTATATAGGTCTTTAAAGCTAGAGAATAGTATATAGAAGAAGAATAGAAGTTAGCTATATAGTTAAAAACGCGTAATTTACTATAATCTTAGAGATATACTTAGAGAGCTTACTTATATTCTATAGTAAGTAGAATCTATAGCGAATAGCTAAGCAACTCTATCTACTTAAACCTACTTAGCGTTACTTCTCTATACTATACTATATTATTTAGCAAAAGGTCTAATACCTATTATTTCTTGTTCTTCTTCTACTATAGAGAGTAATAGTTTATACTAATATATAAATATTAAAGCTATTAACGTTGCTTAGGTTATAGTACTAGCGAGTGTAGACTATAAGCACTCTTTTAGAATAGATAAGAGTAGCGAAGGCTAGCTAGATTAGTAAGCTATCTA